TACAAGTTTCTTCAGTAGCATTATTTCCAGGTTTTATTACTGCTTAAAAGAATTGCTTTGCTTTTGCTTTTCATCTTTTAATTTCTGCAATACAACTTTTCATGCCTCTCCCCCTAATTTAAAATATTGTGGTCCTTATGAGTGTTATGATGCTAATGAGCACTGAATTTCTCTAATGTTGGTATTGCAATATCACAAAGCAAGCAAATCATCTTATCTTTAGTAGAAACAAGACAATATTGCAATTCCCAACTCTCAGTAAAAATCTATTTTCTTTCTTCAGTATTCTCTTGATCTTCTTTGATGTGATGGGCTGTTAAGCAGACAGAATTAAAAAATACTGTTGAGTTGTGCAACTATTCACAAATTCCACTTCAAACAGAAACACAAGGCACCATTGCTAAAGGCTGATAACAGACCAGTGTATTCAACCCCATAAACTCTTACCACCCAGCCTCATGCAATACTGGTGCCACTCAGATAGGAAAGTTAGATAATATTTACTCACTTTCTGGTGAATCAGTGAGAGAAAGCAGTCATAGTAATGGTGGATAAAATCAAAAAAGAAATGTTTGCGGCTCGGCGCCTATAGCTCAACCGGCTAAGGCGCCAGCCACGTACACCTAAGGTGGCGGGTTCGAATCCCCAGCCCGGACCCGCCAAACAACAATGATGGCTGCAACCAAAAAATAGCCGGGCGTTGTGGCGGGCGCCTGCGGTCCCAGCTACTTGGGAGGCGGAGGCAGGAGACTCGCTTGAGCCCAGGAATTGGAGGTTGCTGTGAGCTGTAATGCCACGGCACGCTACCCAGGGGGAGAGCTTGAGGCTCTGTCTCAAAAAAAAAAAAAAAAAAAAAAAGAAATGTTTGCAGAGTGAATATTGTAAGGAGCACCTCCTTCCTTCATGCAGTTCAAAAACAATCCCAAAGAGGGCAGCCTCCTGAACATGTTCATATGGCATCCTTCATTGCCACACATTGGTGTGATTATCATAGATTTTACATATTTTCAGTTTATAATAATGTATATTCATTTGTTGATTCATTTTCCAGCCCAGTTATTCCAGTTCAGGGTTTTGTTTGACCAGAGCTCATCCTGCTAGCTCAGTGTGCCAGGCAGGAGCCAACCCTAACAGGACACCCCCCCACCTATGCACACTTGCCCACATTCAGACTGGGCACAGCTTTGGGATGTGGGAAGAAACCAGGGAAATGGAGAAAACTCATATACATGGGAACAGCATGCAAACTCCACAGACAGTGGCATCAGCCAGTAATCTATTTTTTTCATCAACGTCATAAACAAATGTTATTGAACAAAATGAGGTATTATTTGAGGACCAGCTATATATCCAGATACTTGCATAAGTGCTAATTTAAAGAGGAGATGCAGTACCATTACTTGTTGATCTGAAATTTATATGTATATTTATTTATGTATTAAATGGAAAGTGGTTGCAAGCTGTTGGTGTCCAAAAAAATTTGAAACCATCCTAATATACAATAAGCCACTAACAGTTCTTTCTGAACCACCCTTACAATAAGCATGTTTGCTTTAATAATAAGGAAAATAAGGTTATTTCTCCTTTTAAATAACTTGCATATAGATTGAAACTAACCAATGAGCATATTTGTACACAGAGGGAAGTAAAACTCAGGAGAAATCAATAGACGGGTGAGGGAAGGCAAAAATCTACCTAACAGGTACCATGAAGAGTAGCTGGGTGATGGATAAGCATTACAAAAGTGATCCATGTAACCAAAGACATTTGTACTCCCTTAATATTTTGAAATAAAAAATATTTTTCATATACAATTAAAGGAAATAAGTCAATAAAAACCTTCCAAAAATAAAGCCCCAGGCCTTGTTGGTTTCACTAGTGAATTCTACCAAACATGTAAAAAAATTAGACCAATTCTGTACTAGCTCTTCCAAGAAATATTAGCAGAGACTACTTCCTAACCCATTCTCCAAGGACAGCATTATTCTGATATCAAACCCAGACAAAGACAGTATGATTGAGGAAAAGTGCAAATTATTTCTCAAGAACATAGATCCAAAACTCCTCAACAAAGTATTAGCAAATCTCTGCTCATTCCACAATGTATACATGTATTAAAGCATCAAATGGTGCCTCACAAATATATAAAATTATTGTCAATAAAAATAAAATCAAATCCAATATATATTGAAAAATTATGCACCACAATTAAGTGGAATTTATTCCAAAGCTAAGCGCCAATTAATGTAATACAGGGCATCAACAGACTGAGAACGCAGGTGCTCCGAAGCCACTGAGGGAGGGGACAGGAACCCTAACGTCGCCTCCCTCCAGGCTATGCCGGCAGCCCCTCTACCGCCACCACCTCCGCCAGGACCAGCCAGCTCTCAGTCTCCTGCGCTTACTCGATGGATTTTTCTCTTCACGTTGTGGGGTGAAAATCACACCCACTAAAAGATAACAAAAGATGGTGTTCTCGTTCAGCCTTCAAAACTAATTTCTAAAACTGAGAAAAATTCCACCCAGAACACCTAGTAATGGCCGCGCTCCCGGCGAGGGAAGCCCAGGACAAGTGGAGGTTTCTGACCAGAAAGGCGCGGTCCAGGACAGGTTGGAGTCCAGAAAAGGAAGAGGAAGCCAAAACCTGCTCCCTGAACCTGCTCCTCCGAGTCCAACACCCGCAAAGCAAAGGAGCCCAGAGCGCGCGCGGGTTGATCGTCAAAAGGCGAGAGGCAGCAGGCACTGAGCACGCCATCTCTTGCTCGCAGTCTTTAGCCCGAGAAAACCCCAGGCGTCAGTAGGGACAAAGCATGTTGGACATTCTCAGTCGACTCCACGTGGGTGGAGACTTCTTCTGCCCTGAGGCCACACCCGGTCCTGGGCGGACTGCCCTGGGGTTCTCTCCTGCAGCACTGGAGGGGTTCTGGAAGGGTAGTAGTCCCCATCCAGAGGGAAGAAGCCTTCAGAAGTCACCTCCACGCTTGGCTGAGGATTAGGGTTGGGGAGCCACAAGAAGCCGGGTGCAAAAGTGTAGGCGGAGGCTCGGCGGCTGGGAGAGGGCCGACCCGCGGGCACAAAGGGGGCCCCGGTGCCCCCGACGTTCCTCAGGGGCACCCACTGACCCGTCTGCCTGAGAGGAAAGGAATCTGGGAGAGCGGGCGGCGCCAACTGCAAGGCCGGTGGGCCCAGGAGGCTCCCGTGATGCCGCTCCCGCTGCGGGGATCTGGACGAGCTCAGCCTCTCTAGGCCTCTTGTGCTGCAAAGATGATGGAGCAGAGTTGCCCTCCTCGGGGCTGCGCCGGCTGCCCCAGGCACTGCGGTGTGGAATAAGCCCCTTCTCCTCCCTCAACGAGCCCATCCCAGCTGTGATAACTCTAACTTGCCAATTAAATTTGGCGGCTCTTTAACTCAGTAGTCACAAAAGCACCGAGACTACACACACGTTGATTCCCTACAGTGAGTGAGGTGCCTGGACCTGTAGCCCCTGCAGAGAATGAGTGCCAGAACCCTTTGCCCAACTGGCTCCCTTTGTGGGAACCAGCAAGGAGGGAGGTGTAGGCCAGGCACAGTTTGAGATGAGTCAGGGTCTCTGATGGGTCATGAAGTGGTGCTTGAGCCAAGGCAGAAGCAGCCACCCATCACAGGACCCTGCTCCATAGCTGCAGGGGGCACAGGGGGGCCTGGATTGAGGACCCAATGCACAACAGCGCAGCACCACTGCACCCCTCCCACTGCCAGGCCAGGCGGCCTCAACCCACTCCTGCCTCCCACCTGGCCCTAGGTGTGGTCACATCTCTGGTGGATGAGGGCAGAAACTTGCTCAATGTCAGTAAGGTCCTGCTAAAGTCCATATAACTTGCCCTTCATGTTTGGTCTGGCCAGCAGGGGGAGTCCGGTTCCCTCCAGGGTCCCTGCTGGCAGCCAAATTAGTGTGGTCCCTGGTCAGAATACAATCCCGTTAGTTCTGCTTTATCAGCGCTTGAGTGAAAGGAAAGGGCACAGTCTGTGCAACATTTTATCTGCTAAATTATGAAAATCTTACTACAGCACTTCCTATGAGCTTAATCCGTCAGACCTGTTCCAGACATATTAACTCATTTAGTGCCCACAGGGCTCCAGGAGATTACACTTTCATCATCCCATTCATAGATGCAGACACAGAAGTTCCAAGTGGTTATATGACTTGGACAAGTCATGCTGGCAGTGGGTTCAAGACACCCAGCTCCAAGGCACCTGTACTTCCAATCCCAGCACACTGTTCCCAAAATAATCTAGGACAGGCTGGTGGGTCTGACCAGGTCCCTCCTAGATAATCCTGACACTCAGGACCGTCTCCTTCACTTGGAGGCTCCATGAAGACCCACCCTCTCTCCCACCTCCCCACTTCCTCCGTACACTTCTACAGTGGGGAGGAGGCGTCCACAGGAGGTGTGTGTGAGACCTGGCTGAGGGCACCACCATGAGGCAAGTCTACCCTCACCTTCTGAACCCAAACACCCCAGCTTCCTGAGAGATGCCTACACACTTGTCCCTCTACGTTCTCAGTGCTGTGAATCAGCCCCACCAGCTGCCAACCCAGGGAGGGTCCAGGGACAGTCTTTCCAACAAGGGACCTCAGGAGACCAAAAGTGTCAGTAGTGGTGAGAAGACAGGGGTGAGACTCACAAGAGGCTGTTGCCCCAAGACCCAGTCCTCCTTGGGGTACTTGGAACAACACCTAGTGCTGCAGGTGCCACAGGCAGCACCCTTGGGGGCTGCCAGTTCCCATTTCTCTTCCAGAATTTGTGCCTGGAACCTCAGGGCCAAAGCATTCCCTGTTAAGGTCTGTGAGAGGAATAGAAACTCCTTCGGGCCAGGAAGGGGGACTTCAGGGACGTCCGAAGCCCAGGTCCTGGCGATGGTGGGCACTTTTTCAACTCCTGCAGGGAGAATCAGATATGCCCCACCTACAGAGGCGAACCTCCGAAGGCGTGGGCAGCCCCACACAGCTCACTCTGAGCTCAGTTCCCCCAGACAGTCCTCCGCAGAGCCTCCTTCACGTCCTTGTTCCTCAGGGTATATATGAAGGGGTTCAACACCGGGGTGACGATGGTGTTGAGCACCGTGACACCCTTGGTTAACTCCAAGGAGCTCTCCACCGAGGTCCTCACGTGCAGAAAGATGGTGGAGCCGTACCAGATGAGCACAACCGTGAGGTGGGACGAGCAGGTGGAGAAGGCCCGGTGGCGGCCGGCGCCGGAGGGTATCCTGACGATGGTGGCAATGATGTAGGTGTAAGAGACCAGAGTGATGAAGCAGGAGCCCAGGATGACGCAGAAGGCGATGCCAAAGGAAGCCAGCTCCACCGCCCTCGTGTCGGTGCAGGACAGCACGATCCAGGGAGCGATGTCGCAGAAGAAGTGGTTGATGACGCGGGAGCCGCAGAAAGACAGGCGCACGACGAGCGCAGCGGGCCCCGCGATGGCTGCAAAGCCACTCAGCCAGGAGCCCAGGGCGAGCCGCGCCACGAGCCTGGGCGTCATGATACTGCAGTAGCGCAGCGGCAGGCAGATGGCCAGGTAGCGGTCGTAGGCCATGGCGGCCAGCAGAAAGTACTCAGTGCAGCCCAGGGAGAAGACGAAGTACATCTGCGCGGCGCAGCCGGCGAAGGAGATAGCTCCGTTCTGGGAGGCGAAGGTGGCCAGGGCCTTGGGCACGCAGGCTGTGGTGAACCAGATCTCCAGGAAGGACAGGTTGCAGAGGAAAAAGTACATGGGCGTCTGGAGGCGCCGATGCGCCACTACCAGGGAGATGATGGCCATATTCCCAGCCAGTGTGAGCACATACATAAGCAGGAAGAGCAGGAAGAGCCCAGCGCGCAGGCTCTGTGGGCCCGGGAAGCCCAGCAGGATGAAAGGCCCTTGCACTGAGAGGTTGTGGCCGCGGCTCCAGGCCATGGGCGCTTTCAGTACCACACCACTGCACCGCACTGAGCAGGTAGCCCTACTTCCGCCCCAGGGAGCCCCGCTGGGGGCTGGGCCCCTCCCCCACTCTGTGGGGCTGTTCACCTTATCCTAGAATCCCAGCATCCCCGAGGTATCGTGGGATTGAGCAGACCAGGGAGCAAAAGCGGTTCAGTGCACGCGTGGGTGTCGCTTGTGGTTGCTTGTCACCTGAGGGGTTCGTTAGTTTCCTCTTCTGGAGTCAAGAAGACTGGCACAGGGCAGGAAGTAGGAGTTTTCACAAATGAAATCATGTATGCCCCAATTGTGGCATTTTCCCCCAACAAACCAGATCCGGTGCTGGTGGAACGCTACCGTTCTGTAAAGCTCCCCAAACTGGACAACAGCCTCCAAGGCTAGCCCCTGCGGGACGCCCACTTCCTCTTGACCTGGGCCTCCAGCCTTTACATGTTGACTGAGAACGGAGGGAAACAGATTTCCCTAAAATGTGATTTTTTTTTTTTTGAGTCTCATTCTGTCACCCTGCTAGAGTGCTATGGTGTCATAGCTCACAGCAAACTCAAACGCCAGAGCTCAAGGGATCCTCCCGCCTCGGCATCCCCAAGTGCGGGGATCACAGGTGTGAGCCATGTGCCCGCCCAAATGTGAAAAACAAAATTTTTTTTGAGACAAGAGTCTCACTTTGTAGAGTGCTGAAAAGTCATAGCTCACAGCAACCTCAAACTCTTGGTTGGGCTCAGATCATTCTCTTGTCTCAGACTTCTAAGTAGCTAGGACTACATGCGCCCGCCACAACACACGGCTTTTTTTTGCAGTTTTTGGCCAGGGTTAGGGTTTGAACCTGCCACCTCCGGTATATGGAGCCGGCGCCCTACTCCTTTGAGCCACAGGCGTCGCCCACGCCCAGCTATTTTTAGAGACGTGGTCTAGCTTTGGCTCAGGCTTGTTTCCAACTCGTGAGTTCAGGCAGTCCACCCGCCTCCGCCTCCCAGAGTGCTGGGATTACCAGCCTGAGCCACTGCGCCTGGGCAAAATGAGTTTTTAAACAGCTACGTCACCAGCGCCCCCTTCTGACCAGGAGCTGGGGTGGGGGGCGGGCGGCCGAGAGTTGCGGCAGCCTGGGAAGAGAATGGGGTCTGCCGGCCGACTCCGAGCCTGGGCCTGACTTGGAGGTCTAGGGCCACCCCACCGCTGTTCCCGGCCAAGGAGCGACGGAGGGAATAGCTAGCGGGCCAAGGGGAGAGTCCCGAGGCCAGCAAGAGAGGAGGCGCGGGAATTAAAGCTCAGTCGCCGTAGCAACCGGAAGCATTCTGCTGCACGTTCCCCCTCAGCGGCCACGCACACGCACGCTGATCACCTGTGCACACACGCACACCCAGATCGGCCCTCCCTGGAGTACTCACCTGGTTCCTGGTGAGGAACCGCGGCGTCTATCACCCAGGCGTCTCTCAGCTGCGAGGGCTCCCCAGACCCACAGGGCGGTCAGTGCAGCTGTCCTTAATCAGTTCCAGTCTGTAAGGAAATGACCGATGCTCCAACCCACACCTCCTGCACAGGACATCTGCCGGGACAGAGGGCCCACCTGCTGCTGTCTCGCCCCAGCCCCCTGAGCAGGCAGTCTGCTTTTTCCCCTGGCAAAAGCAAAACCCCAGTGAAGCCCCTGAAAGCACGCAGGGGCCTCATCAGGTGCCCTTCCAGGTCCTAAGGGTGGGGCCAGGTGGGCAGCACCCTGAAAGGGACAGTCTTTTCAGCAGCAGCCCCCATAAGGCCTTTTGCCAAGGGCCTGAATGTCCCCTGTCAGACCCGGGGTGGGGGCAGACCCATCAGGGGCTATGGTGGGGCTGTCATAGGCCTGGGACTCTAGAGCTGCAGGCTCTAACCATCGTACCCATAAGGTCGTTTTTTGTCCCAGTGGACACCTCCTTGCCCAGCAATGTGGGTGTCCAGACTGGGGGAGTGGGAGAATAGCACTATTTTTCCTCAGCCCTGACTGAGATAAGCCTTGCATTTAGAAAGACATTTTTGCCAACAACCACTGCAAGGGCTGAAGGGAAAAAAAAAGAACCCCCCACAACACCTGCTGCATCTGCGACCTTGCCCTTGAATCCCAGATTTCCCATGTTGGGGAAACGCTTAAGAGCCAGCGTTTCCTCCTATGTCCTGGCTTGATGCAACTCTGCTCTCCCTTCCCTGTCCCCTGCACTGTGTGGTATAAAGACCAGGACCCACCTTCCTATGCTGAAGAACACCCAGGTCTTACAGAAGCCTCCTGCCCCATGTCTTGTTGGCATCCCCTGAGGCCCAGAAGAAGATGGAATTGAAGTCAGGGAGCTTGGCCCAGACCACAGTAGGGTCCAGGAACCCTATGTGCACAAGGGGCTGGGGGGGTGGGAGGGTGTGGCAGGCAGAAGTGAGCCTACCGTGAGACCCCCAGGGGTCTTCTCTGGGGGGAATTGACCTGCAAGGGAAAGCACCCACTCAGCAATAAGGTCAGCTCAGGACCAGCCTCAGGCCTTCCTGGGAGTGTATGGGATGTGGGGCCATTCACCAGGTTCTAGGACTTGACCCCAAGCAGCCTCAAGGCCAGAAGGTCAGTTCACCCTAAGGACCCTCTGGCAGGGACATGCCCCAGGCTGGAGCTCAGTAAGCTGCCAGTCATCCCTGCCAGCCACCTCCTAACTTGCCACGAGGGTCTCTTATGGGTTGAGCTCCTTACCATCTGCTGCCCACCTCCCTCTGGAGACAAGCCAAGAAGAAAGGGGTACAGGGTCATTGGACACTGGGGGGGCAACTAGAGTGACCAGAGGTTGGTCCCAGAAAGTGTCCCAACAGCTCCAACACCAAGACCCGAGCACAGTCCCTCAGTAGAAGCTCTGAGTCCCAGGCCCATAAGATGGCTCTACCCAAGTGACACTGGCTCTAGTTACTCAGAGAGGCCAGCACAGGCTCTACCTAGTGCAGACCCCAGCATGTGGGGTGAAGGCTGCCCTGGCCCCATCTCATGGGAAGGAAGCTGTCAGCACCTCTGCTGCTGGCCTGCCTGCTGCTGGCCACCCACCTTGCCTCACATTGCGGCTTCATAGCACCTGCTGCCCCCATGATCTCCTAGGGCAGAGGCCCTAGCAGATGGCAGTATCTTTACCAAGCTCCACTGGTCATCACCTGATGTGCTGGCCAAGAGCCCAGACCTGAGGCCGCTGGTACTCAGGCTCCCAGCACAGGCAGCAAATGTATCAGGTAGAGGTGGCAGCAGAGTGGCCCCACCCTGGGCAGCTGCTGCATCCCCAGCCATGCCCACCCAGGTGGAGAGCACAGGGTGAGGCTGCATGCAGCAACAGCAGGCCTACCCAAGCTGGGTTACTTCTGCCTTCCACCCTGGGCTCCCTTGGGCTAAGGCCTGCAAGGACCTTCTTGCCAATTACACACTTGGCAAGAACCTGGCCCTGGGGGCTGGGAAAGGGCCCCAAGGGTGTTTGGGGGAGGTGCCTGGGTCAGGGGTCCTGCCCTTGGACTATGCCTGACTTCTCCCAAGGCCCACCTATCTCCGGAGGCCATGCCCTGCACCCTGCCCACACACCTACTTTAGGGCCCAGACACCCCGGACAGGGTCTGGCTGCACAATAGATTGTGGACACTGTTGGCAAATGCTCTGTGCCTCAGTTTCCTCTTCACTCTCCGGGCATGTTGAGGGGCAAACTTCAAGCTGCCCACAACCTCAACTTCCCCAAAGCTGTTCAGAAACTGCTGCCCTGACAAGAGGCAGGCTGGGGTCTGTTTCCCATCCTCTACTGGGGCCACTCATGGAAGGTGGGGACCCCCAGCCAGTGGGAACAGGTGGTAGTTGTGACCCAGGAGGTGCTGCTTCCCTCAGCTGTGTGGCTTTGAGGGAACCTAGGTTCTCTGAGTTCCCCCAGCATCAACCCTGGGAGGACCTGAGGGCCACACCTGTAGGCTCACAGGGGGAACCTATAGCCAGCGCTAGGCTTGTGCCCATGGTGGGGCTATGTGCTGTTACACAGGGTCTTAGCCTTGGTAACAGGGACTCAGCTTCTGGGGTGGGGGCACTGGGAGGTGGTGGCATATTCCCTACCCTCCCCACCCATTTTCCCTACCAGCACATTGGGGCAGGTGTTGACCAAAGCAGGTTTTAACGAGGCCCCTAGGGCAGGGGCTGCTTGGCAGCAGTTCCAAAGTATATGGACCCTGGCCAGTAACACTTGGGCCTGAGGGTGCCACACTTCCCTGGGGACTCCAGGACCACCTCAGCGCCACCACAGCACAGGCACCTGCTGCCTCTAATTGGGAGCTCATTAGAATTGGTTCAGAGGCTTCTCCAAGGCCTAAGCAGGAACAAGAACTAATTTGCACTCACTGCAGTGCTGCTGGAGTCTGGAAAAGCACAGAAGGTATCTTCTATTTGGTTAAATAAACTCTGTTTTTCCCCCAAAATAACATAACAGTAATTTCAAACACAGAGAAGTAGAAGATCAGGTCAGGTGTGGTGGCTCATGCCTATACTCTCACCATTCTGGGAGGCTGAGGTGGAAGGATAACTTGAGGCCAAGAGTGCAAGACCAGCTTGGGCAGCTGGACCCCCTTCTCTACCAAAAATAGAAAAATTAGCTGGACATTGTGGTGGTGCCATATTCAGGAGGCTGAGGCAGCGTATAGCTTGAGCCCAGGAATTCAAGGTAATCACAACACTACACCCCAGCCTGGATGACAGAGTGAGATCTTGTCTCTAAAGAAGGGAAAAAAAAAGTAGAAGAGTTTCCCGAAGCATATGCATGTGTGAAGATTTGGTGTGCCACTCATATTCCATTCCTTGGGTTTATTTTTCCCATGTCAACTTTTAGGGTTCCTATTTTCTATTTCTTACTGCATGCCAAGAGCACCCACATTTTGCCAGCTCACTGCACTCATTCCCCAGCATCATTCTGGAGGGGCCTGGAGTTCTCCACTTGCCCCACATTGGACAGTTTAACGCTTGGATT